GACAATATCTGATGATCGACTCTTTTAAATGAAACCAGAGAGCGTTGACAGAGAGGAGAAGGTAGAAATGTCTCAGCCTGGAACTGAAAATATGGATGGAGGACAACAGAGCAGCTTCATGGAAGAAGAACCTAAACCTAAACTAACCTAAACCGCACCCGCTTCAGATGTTATCATCCATGAAGTGAAATGGACGATATTAGGCGTTATCAGTCCCCTAGAATGACTTCAGATTGTCAGCTGGTTAGTATGAGGCATAAAACCACTATCTGGTTAATATGAGGCATAAAGCCACTAAGGTTAACTTTAGAGCAAATTACATGGTTAGCGCTAAAGACACCACCCTCCAACAAATGCATATTGTGGCCTTCCAGTAGGGTAATGTGTAGAGTGTCGTACCAGAGAGTGGGAGACCAGGGTTTGAGACCAAATTTTTGGTGTCCGATTTACACATTCATTGTCATTGATATATTAACCCACTAGGGGGCACTGCCGGGACAGTCTGAAGCCTAGAAGGCACAGTAGGGACCCTCTAAAGCCAATGTATGGGACTGATAACGCCTAATAACAGCCATTTCATGGACTGATAACATCAGAATCCCCTGCCTAAACTCACTTCACACCTTGGTCCTAAACCCAACCCCCACACCCAAAATCAGCCTCCGCAGTTGTAGTAAGACCTTCTAGGTGTTTACTTAGGAGAACATTTAACATAGATGACAACACATGAACATTTTGTGATAATAACATTTGAAACAACAGACATCATTTATTTATACAAATTTTATTTTTCTTTGTGCAACTGTACAAACCTTTTGGGGGGAAATGAAGACACGGTTATTCAAAAAGATTTAAGTTAAATATTTAGCTAGCTACATAAATATTTAGGTTACAACTTAAATATTTAGGTAGCCAGCTAAATATTTGATTTGTAAGTTAAATATTTAGTTTATAAACTAAGACATTTATAAATAGATGAATTATATGGCAAAAAACTGACTTTGAAAAATAAATCTGTTCTTTTTTTCTTATAAAAGGCTAAATAAAACAAAAATATTGGTGGTAATTTTTGACTGTATAACTTTACAAATGGCACACCATACTAGACCATGTTTGTTTGTTTATATATCACATTGTGTGCTGTTCATTTTACGCATGGCGCAGGTGCCCCATTTTAATAGGCTACTTCGTAGTGTCATAATTTTGAATGACATTCAATGTTTTTGTCAGCGTGGCAGTAGTAGGCTTCCATAGTTAAGCTTTCACAGAATGTTGAGAGCTATATAATCTGACTTTGCCCAAGAATAGTTCAATACAACAGTGGCGGAGCCAGTCATTTTTCTTAGGGGTGGCCAGATGGCGTCCACTACTCACACAGGGGTGGCCAGGAACATTACATCATTTTTTACTTGAAAGTTTCTGCAGATCTTTGTGTTTTTTTCATTTCCTTATGTCCTCATACAGGTGGCGATTATAAACATGGGTGTCAGAGCCATTTAAAAAAGGGGGGTGCTGTTAATTTGATTTGATTTATTTATTTAACAGGAAAAGGTTATTAAAAACCAAGCCTGACTCAGCATAATTGCTGTTTTACAGCAGGTTCCTGTTCTGCAGCACATAAAACACTCAGAATTACAGCATCACAATCACATCATTATACACCATAGACACAAAGACAAACAAGCATACCAAATTTCAGGAAGGCAGCATTTGCAAAATAGGACGTCTAAATATGAGCACAACAAAAAGTGTCAAATATACATTGTTGTTTGTTCATGTCATTGACTAAATATGTGCAACAAC